TTGAAAAACTTCTAGCAGATCCCCAATAACGGTCAGCGTAGGGGGCGGTCCAGACCAATCTTGGAGAAACGCTTTGCACTTCGATGGTGCGAATCAAAGCTCGAAGTGACGGACAGCTAGTGCTAATCTGTCTAGTGCCGCTTGGTACATTTGTGAGTTGTCACAGATGAGTGCAATATCATCAGCATATTCTAAGTCAAGAAGTCGTTCTCCTGGGAGTAGCTCCACACCTTCTTTTTCGTGCCCTGTAAACGCGATTCCCACGACTTCGTCAACAGCGAAGTTGAAGAGGAAAGGTGACAGCGAGCATCCTTGCCTCACGCCGCTGGAGATATTAAAGTGCGACGACAACTTGCCGTAAGCCCTCACTCTGCCCTTACTACGCGCATGTAATGCTCGGATAATATTCACATAATTTTCTGCACACTTTTCCTGAGTAGACAGTCCCATAGTGCTTGTCTGTCCACCGAATCGACTGCACCTTTTATATCGAGGAACAGGACAATGATGCGCCGCCAATATATGTGACGGTGCTCCAACAACTGCCGCAACGTGAAGATGTGGTCAATGCAGCCACGACCTCGACGAAACCCGGCTTGCTCTTTACGAACCTGGCTTTCACTAGTGCTAGTCAGTCTGTGAAGGACGACAGAGGCAAGCAAGTTGGAGGCGATGGAGATCATACTGATTCCTATATGGCTGCCCCATTTTGATCGTGAGCCTTCTTTGAAATTCGGGAGTGTGACGGAACGGCTCCAATCGGTTGGGACAGACTCCTGCTCACACAGTTTCATAAGTAACTTGTGTAAATCATCCACAAACAGGTTTCCCGAATTTGAAGAGTGCTGGAGGAAAATCATCTGGTCCCGTGGCTTTGTTCAACTTCAACAGTCCGATCCTACGTTCCACTTCTGAGCGAGAGGGTGGATCCAAAGGAACAGCCCACCGAGCATGGCGATCACTGACCGGAGAGAAATCTAACAATTCCGACCGATTAACTTGCATTTCAAAGTGCTCAGCTCAACGTTCTAACCATTTTGATAAGTTGTGGATAGGCTGTCCACTCTCGTCACGTATAGTTTCACAAACACCAGGTCTCCTGCTGCCCGTTTCCCGTATCGGAGTTAATAACTCAAGATGGTTACCAAAGGCAGTGGCCATACCATCTCTGTTGCTCCATTAGACCATCAGGATTCGCAGTCTCTCTTCAGGCTAGCACGGAGTTTTGCCCGGAGTTCTTTGCGAGATTCCTTGTTTTCGCTTCCAGCCGTAATATGCCGGCGAGCATCTATAAGTTCCAAAGACTGTGGAGATACCCAATGTCAATGTTAGCGTTAAGACATCCCACAGGAGGATTTTCCTCCTGCTAGTAAGGCCTGATGAATATGAGACCAGTGAGCTTAAATTGCATCCAGTGAGCATTTATCCAACTCGCATGACAGTGTACTTTGATAGGCACTCAGAACAGCTGGCTTCGCTAGTCTGCCGGTGTCAATGCGCTCACAACCTCGTCGTGGGCGTCCGCCAAAACGCATCCGAATGTCAGCACATACAATTGCATGGTCGGTGTCCACCCATGCGCTCCAAATCGAGCGACAGTTCTGGACGCAGCCTCTCCAGCTGTAACTGATAGCAATGTGATCGATTTGCGTCCATAGCTGGTTCGAGGCTGGTGGGCGCCAAGTCACCCTCCGGCGGGTGCTGTGTCGGAAATTAGTGCTCGCAAGAAATAAGCGAGCATCTTCACACAAATGAAGTAACCGCTCACCGTTAGCATTACGGGAGCCTATACCATGTTGGCCGCCCAGATGCAGCTTATCTGTGGGTAATGTTCCAACTTCAACGTTTAGATCCCTGGCCAGGACTACAGTGTCCGAGCTACTTCTGTGGCTATGGAGCTAGTTCATTTGACGATAGGAGTCGACTTTTACGGTGTCATCGCTACAGTTTGTTGGTGCATGGGCTGCGATAACGAATAGACACCTGTTAGTCTCGCGCGACTTCGAAGCTTTGAATGAGCCAGCCAATCGGACCGCACACATCCGGTTACTGATTGGAATCCAATCAACCAGAGTAGCTTCAGCCCGGGGACTCAGGGCAATGTCAACACCAGCTTGGCCGGTGCTCAAAGCTGCATCGTCACCGGATAGGCGCAATGAGAAAGTGCTGCTAGTGTCAACCGAAGGGGATCGCAGGGTGAGTACAGAGCTCGAGTCTTGCAGGCGGGTCTCTGATAAGCAGCAGATATCGATGGAGAGGGTTTCCAAAGCTCGGGCAAGTGCTGCCTGTTGACCGATCTGAAGCAGTGTGCGAACATTGAGGCATGCCAGTCTGAAGGAGGATAGAGGGCTCCAAATAGAAGCCGATGAACTGGAATGAGCCGCTTGCTTGGACATGGGTCTGTTGACAGTGCAGGAATGACGCTCCGCGTTCACATGTGATTTGAAAATAAAAGGCAAGCGACAATTGAAGCAACGTGGGGGAGGGCCGAGAATTGGGAGTTGAAAACAGGGGGGATAAAAGTGAAGCTGGAATGGGACGATAAGGGTGGAAAAGCGAAAAAGGGGGAATAAGAATACGGGAAGTTTTGAGCAGTAGCATCCAAACCCCTATTCACCCCGCCCGATGCAAAAGATAGGCCACCGCTGATAATCCTCTGCGGTGGCCAGCGCATCACAAATTTGTTTGAAGTGTGATTCATTGTATTGCGTGTGCAGGATACTGTCAGGTTGCCCAGGCCTAGACAGGAGAACGATTACGGTTCTAAACCAAAGCCTTTGTTTAAAAAACCTGACCGCAAGGCAGCGGGTTTGGCACTGGACTACAAGTAGTCCGTTTTAAGGAATAAGGAGCCACCCTCGTTCCAACCCCAACCTGGAGGACCAGGAAGCTGAGTTTTTCTGGTCTCTAACCATTGACAAATCTGGTATGAGTGGCTCTGAAGGTGCAAAATTGCACCACCCAGTATAGCTCGATGGATCACAGAGGCACACAAAAATTGCATTACGGTAAGGTCCAGCCTCATTGCGATGGTGTTGGTACGATTGCAACTTTTCCTTCATCCTTCTGAGTGCTTCCCGTTCTTCCTTCGAAAGAGTATGTGTGACTTTGTTGCCCGTTCATCATCAATCATCAATACACTTTAGCCGAGGGTGAGGAACACACGGCTAATGTGCTGCAAAATAAAAAAATTTAAGATTTTAGGCAAGGTAGATTTAAATGCTATAAAAAAGGAACATAATGCTAATATCACATTTATGATGGATGTTGGATGGGGTATGCTAAAGGGGAGAGACTAAGAGATTCATAACACAAACGCCATTGAAGTCGGCTCTTCGTCATGTCAGCTAATGCATCCAATCAAAAGTGTTCATCACCCTTCGGTCCGCAGCCATGCAGTCCGGAAACACCAACCGACGCCAACTTCAAAGCAAGACACTTCATTCCTCTTGAACAATTCATCTATTGGCCTACCCTCCTCTTTTTCTATTCACACCCAAGGCGTGTAAACAAACCGCACGTCGTGGGAGTCGGCGGGCTGCCATGCTCAACACGTGGCCTAGCCATCGTCACGGGTTGTCACAGAGAAGACTGTCTAATTTGTTGATATGATTTATCCGACAGACCGTGTGTGTTCAAAACCTGTTCCAGACCAGCCAAGTAATCCGTATATTAAGCACCCCTGAAGATGATGTTTGGCCCGATCTTTGGTATATCTTCTTCGGTTCTGATGAGTTGATAGGTAGAGCACTTCTTGGTCCATCCCTCACTGTTGGGGTGGTCATGCTTCCTCGTGAGCCTGCTTAACTTAATATGCAGGACTAAGTAACGAAAGTTTCTAATGTTGTTTACTCGACATTCAATTGAATATTTAAGGCGTGTGAATTTTTCGGCTCCCATCGCAATAAAGCACTCAGCTCCACTGGCAGTTACGACGTTTTCATACTTTGGATTGTGGTTATTGCCATCATTTGTCACTCATTTTAACATGTGCCTCTCATACACTATTGTTAAAGCCAAGGCCTCCGAATGATCTGTGGTTCAGACTTAGTGGCACAGCATTCCGTCTCAAACATTCGTGGAGGAAATATAGCTGCTCACGTGCTGAACCTCGTCAAAAGGCAGTGTTCACAACAGCGAGCTAGCTAAAGTGTTGTACATCCGTATTCCTGTAATACATTTGGTGGTCGAAGTGCACGCTGAGATCGGTAGTTTTGCTACTCGTAATACAACAACGTTCGACAACACGGAACCTCGCACTGAACACTCGCCCTGGTCGAAGTAGGTCTAAGGAATCGTGTACATGTGTTGGCTGTGAAGTCCATCATCACGCCGGAAGGCACAGCTGTACAACTTACAAGTAACGAGGAACGAAGTGGATGTGCGATCCAAAGGGGCAAAAAGGGAAATGGGGCAAACGGCTATGAAGCAAGAGAATCTGAGTTGATCAGCAAATTCATATGCTTCAAAAAGTGCGAGGTAACTACTTGGATCCTTCGGCGAATAACCTCATTAGTAAAAAAAACAAACAAATATAGACAACCCATACATAATCAAGGTTAACAATCGGTCGTAAAGCGGATCGTCGGAACGGTATATGAATGCGACGCCCGTTGCATTAAATACTAGTAAAAGCAAATCAAACGATTTAAGCTCATTTATTCTACATCATATTAGTTGATTAAAAAGTCGAACAATGTGTCAAATAAAATGACGGACTTGGGCTGTGAGGAGAATAAAACGATAAGCTCTTACGTCGAACATTGTTGATTCTACCGAAGCTATCCGAAACGGTCAACGATTATATATGGAGAGTGACAGGATCAAAATTGGAGTGTTCGAACTCAACATATAATTGAAACTGATCGAGAAGTCATGATTTCAGAGAGATTTGTGGACAATCGGTTAGTTTAGTTACTTGGCCAATTAAATAAGCTAACCTATTACCCACAATTGTCTCTTAAATCAAATACTCGGGGTGCTTTTAGTCACACACTCACTCAAGTGAACAGATTCGACATGTCTCCGTAAAAAGCACGTGTTGGCGAACGATTTTCCACAAAGAGCACATGTGTGTGGGCGTTGGTCTGGAGTAAGAAAAAGTGCGCAATGAATCACAGCTGAATCGTACACGAATAATGAATGATCTATAAGGTCTAGACAATTACCAACACACCAAGACCTTGAGAAGAAGCAACCAATCCGAGAGTCGGCTATGAAAAACAACAGCTCTTATTGAAGTAATCTCAACATGAGAGCTAAGACAGAATGCGCGGCGCCTATGAGCAGAAATGGATCTGTTCAGATGTGTTAAGTGAGCTTAATAAACAAGTAGCTTTATCCCCGTCATTTGATGTTGGATGAAATTTCAATGAAAAAATACTGGCATTTAATTTGAGTACAAGCGCCGCAGACCGGTAATCACGCTGGGTAGGGTGAGTAACAGATTCCCCCCAGCTCACACCTAATTTCGAGCCGCGTTAGCCTCTAGAATCCATCCTCCTATTCTCCAGTTATGCATTCGATGCAACTCCGACCCAATGGGCACATCGTGTTTCATCGTTTCTAATTCCCATCATCCGCTTCGCTGCATTGATGATGTCAAATCTGGTGGCGAAACGTTTGCAACAATAGTGCTAAGCATAACGAACAGTTCAACTAACAAATGAACCACGTGAGGCACCTACATTTGATACTGAATTAAACTATACGAACCATAACGTTTAAACACAACAGCACATATCAGAACATTTTGCTTCACAATCGTCCTGTTCTCCACATCGCCGTTTCAACGGCATCCGGTGATTAGTATTTTTTCACAAAAAGGCCGCGTTATATGGCGTTTCTCTGACCCTCACCCTCACCAAGCAACTATTTCATCAGCTTGAAAAGAGATATGACTAGCTAAACCCACTTCTATCTGTTCAAGGTGTACTCCATGCTTGAGTCACCATCCACAGCAGGTTGTGTAGAATGAAGTAAAACATAGAAGTGCGACCGGTAGACGCCCAGTGGAGCACAATGCCCCAGGGAAACACGCTTAGATTGATGGTTCAAGAGGGAGCGCTACTTTCTAGCAAAAGCAGAAGGTCAGATCGCCGTGAAAATAGCCCACTGACTTACTCCACTGCTAGGTCGGCCTTACAGTCCGAGTGGATGGTAAAAAACACGTCTATCAGTAAGTTGGTTATTTTAACAAGAAGCGAATACACGGAATTCGGCTTTAGCAAACAAAAGTCAATGTGAGGGAACATGTTTTTCCGGATTCCGTGGTATATGAAGAAGGCAATTGAGCCTGACAAAGACTGTTACTGTAGTGCCTCTTACCTTAAGAACGCAGCCGAACTATTAGCAAGGTTAGAAATCTGTGAGAATATTTGTAGCGCAGGATGCGCATGAGGGTATGCGGGTGCTCTCCAAGCTGGATGATTTGGCTGCAAACTTTTCATCGTTAGGCTAGACGACATCATCAGTGCGATTTATGCGTGTCACTCACAGATCCAATCATCCAACCGCCTACAAACGCAGCTGTAAAACAACATTACCTAAAAGAGCAGACACATTGCCGCACCCCGCAGCTGAGGAAAGCGGAGGAAGATCATCTATTCGAAATATTTACACGGAATGGTTATCTAGGAATTTCATTTTAAATTAACATCAATAAAACGACCGACGCATCAACAAACATCAGAAACTGATAAAAGGACATTCATTCTACTATACATAAACGGCGTCCCTGAGATGGCGGCGAAACTGCTACTACCTTTCGGAATCAGAGTTGCTCACAAGCGGACAGAAACCATCCGAGATAAGCTCTTCAATGGTAAGGACCGGCTTGTCAAAGAAGAAACAAGTGGTGTGATTTACGAAATCCACTACGAAAATTGTAACAAATAATATGTGGGCCAGGCAGGAAGAACGCTCGGCACTAGGCTACATGAGCATAGCCTAGCCATCCGCCAACATGACCAGAACTCCCCTGATGTAGGGACATATGGACGCCGAGAATCAACAGTTTGATTTGGAAAATGTCAGAATCATAGGCTGGGCAAAAATCCGAAAAGCACGCGAGTTCATCGAGGCTTGGTACACGGGGAAGAAATCAATCAACCGACACTTAGATCATGATACTGCCTATGAAGCACTGAGGGTCAAAACAATACTCCGCCCCCAGATCAACAACACAAAGGAACGTCATTGAGGCAGATACTCTAGTCAACAGTACGTAAGAGCTGACTACACGGTCAGCTGATGTGGACCACTAAACTCCTGGTGTTCCAATCAGATGATCAATAATCACTTGTATCTGTAAGTGGCCCGCATAAATCGCACTGATGATGTCGTCTAGCCTGACGATGAAACGTTTGCAGCCAAATCACCCAGCTCGGAGAACACCCGCATACCCTCATCCGCATCCTGAGCTACAAATATTCTCCCAGATTTGTAACCTTGCTAATAGTTCGGCTGCATTCTTAAGGTAAGAGGCACTACAGTAGCAGTCTTTGAAGGCTCAATTGCCTTCTTCATTTACCACGGTATCCGGAAAAACTTGTTCCCGCACATTGCCTTTTGTTTGCCAAAGCCGAATTCCGTGTCTTCGCTTCTTGTTAAAATTACTAACGCACCGATGGACGAGGTTTTATGCCATTCACTCAGACTTTAAGGCCACGATAGCAGTGAGGTAAGTTAATAGGCTGTTTTCACGGCGATCTGATGTACTTTTGGTTTAAAGTAGTGGTCCCCCTTGAAACATCAATCCAAGCGTATTTCGCTGGTTGTGCTGCCTGGGGCCATGTGCTCCACTGTGTGTCTACCGGTCACACTTTTATGTCTCATTTCATTACTACATAACCTGCTGCGGATGAGATTAGGAAAACGGATGATGACTCAAGCGATACTACGTTCTCAAGCATGGAGTACACCCTGAACAGATAAAAGTGGGTCTAACCAGTCATATCTCTTTCAAACTGATGAAATAGTTGCTTGGTGATGGTGAGGATCGGAGGAAAACCATATATCGAGGCCATTTGGAAAACATTACATATCACCGGGTATCGTTGAAACGGAGATGTGCAGAACAGGACGATACTGAGACAAAATATTCTGATATGTGCTGTAGTGCTTAAACGTGATGGATCGTATAGTTTGATACAGTAACCAATGTAGGTAGTTCATTTGTTAGTTGAACTGTTCTTTGTGCTTATCAATATTGTTGCAAACGTTTCGCCACCAGATATGACATCATCAATGCAGCGAAGCGGATGATGCGAATTCGGAGCGATAAAACACGATGTGCCCATTGGGTCGGAGTTGGATCGAATCCATAACGTAAGAATGCATATGGATTCAAGAGGCTAACGCGGCTCGAAATTGGGTGTGAGCCGGGCGAAATCTGTTACTCACTCTACCAAGCGTGGTTACCCATCTGCGCCGCTTGCACTCATATTAAATGCCAGTACCTTTTCATTGAAATTTCATTCAACATCAGATTACAGGGATAACGCTACGTGTTTACTAATCTCACTTAACACATATGAAAACAAATCCATTTCTGCTCACAAGCGCCGCACATTCTGTCTCTTAGGTCTCATGTCGAGATTACTCTTCAATAAGAGCTGTTGTTTTTCATAGCCGACTCTCGAATTGGTTGCTTCTCCTCAAGGTCTTGGTGTGTTAGAAATTGTCTAGACCTTATAGATCATTCATTATTCTGTGTGATTCAGCTGCGATTTATTGCGCACTTTTTCTTAATCCAGAGCAACGCCCACACACATGTGCTCTTTGTGGAAAATCGTTCGCCAACACATGCTTATTGCGAAGACATGTTGAATCTATTCACTTGGGTGAGTGTGTGACTAAAAGCACTTCGAGTATTTGATTTAAGAGACAATTGTGGGTGATAAGTTGGATTATTTAATTGGCCAAGTAACTAAACTTACCGATTGTCCACGAATCTCTCTGAAATCATGACTTTTCGATCAGTTTCAAGTATATTTCAAGAGTTCGAACACTTCAAGTTTGACCTTGTCACTCTACATGTATAATCGTTGACCGTTTCGGATAGCTTCGGTAGAATCAACAATGTTCGACGTAAGAGCTCATCGTTTTATTCTTCTCACGGCCCAAGTCCGTTGTTTTATTTGGCACATTGTTTGATTTTTTAATCAACTAAAATGATGTAGAATAAATGACCTTAAATCGTTTGATTTGCTTTTACTGATATTCAGTGCAACGGGCGTCGCATTCATATACGGTTCCGACGATCCGCGTTACGACTGATTGTTAACTTTGAGTATGTATAAGGTGTTTATATTTGTTTTTTTCCTATTGTGGTTATTCGACAGAGGATCCGAGTGGTTGCCTTTCACTTTTTGAAGCACATGAATTTGCCGATCAACTCAGATTCTCTTGCTTCATTGCCGTTTGCCCCATTTCCCTTTTCGCCCCTTTGGATCGCACATCCACATCGCTCCTCGTTACTTGCAAGTTGTACAGCTCTGCCTTCCGGCGTGTTGATGAACTTCACAGCCAACACATGTACACGAATCTTTAGACCTACTTTGACTAGGGCGAGTGTTCAGTGCGAGTTTCCGTGTTGTCGAATGTTGTTGTATGATGAATGGCAAAACTGCCGATCTCGGCGTGCACTTTGACCACCAACTGCACAACCTGGACTACCAATATTTTCTTCTGTATCACAGCTATACGGATGTACAACGCTTTAGCAAGCTCGCTGTTGTGAACACTGCCTTTTGACGAGGTTCAGCACGTGAGCAGCTGTATTTCCTCCACGAATGTTTGAGACGGAATGCTGTGCCACTAAGTCTGAACCACAGACCGGCGTTAGATCATTCGGAGGCCTTGGCTTTAGCAAGAGTGTATGAGAGGCGCATGTTAAAATGAGTGATAGCAGATGCCAATAACCACATTCGAAAGTATGAAAACGTCGTAATTGACAATGGAGCTGAGTGATTCATTGCGATTGGTCCCGAAAAATTCACACGCCTTAAATATTCAATTAAATGTCGAGTAAACAACATTAGAAACTTTCGTAACTTAGTCCTGCATATGAAGTTAAGCAGGCTCATGAGGAAGCCTGACCACCCCAACAGTGAGGGATGGATCAAAAATTCTCTACCTGTTAGCTCACCAGGACCGAAGAAGATATACTAACCAACGGGCCAAACATTAACTTCAGGGGCGCTTTATATACGGATTACTTGGCTGGTCTGTAATAGGTTTTGAACCTGTCGGAAGAATCATGGCTACAAATTAGACAGTATTCTGTGACAACCCGTAACGATGGCTAGGCCACGTGTTGCGCATGGCAGCATGCCGACTCCCGCGACGTGCGTGTTGTTTGCGCGTTCGGGGTGTGGATAGAAAAAGAGGAGGGGAGGCCAGGCGATGAATTGTTCAAGAGGAATGAAGTGTCTTGCTTTGAAGTTGGCGTCGGTTGGTGTTTCCGGACTGCATGGCTGAGGATCGAAGGGTGATGAACACGTTTGATTGGATGCCCTAGCTGACATGGCGAAGAGCCGACTTCAATGGCGTTTGTGTTATGTGTCTCTTAGTCTCTCCCCTTTAGCATCCCCCCATCCAACATCGATCACAAATGTGATATTAGCATTATGTTACTTTTTTATAGCATTTAAATGTACCTTGCTTAAAATCTTAACTTTTTGTTTTGCGGCACATTAGCCGTGTGTTCCTCACCCTCGGCTAAAGTGTATTGATGGTTGACGATGAACGGGCAACAAAATCGCACATGCTCTTTCGAAGGAAGAACGGGAAGCACTCAGGAAGATGAAGGAAAAGTTGCAATCGTACCAACAGACTAGGGACGTATGGGAGTAATAATGGATGAACCGGATTACATTGCGAATGCCATACAGTTGATTTTCGTTATGACCGCATATCGCCCTATCGATCAGGCCTCAAGTTCGCAACTGACTACCCAACTCAACACAGTGTTAAAGCAGTTACAAGCAACGAACTAGATTACCAAACAGGAACGATGGAAAATGAAAGCTGATGTTACAACCATTGGAAGGTTCTATGAACTACTAAAGGTACTCAAGGACGGAGTCACATTGCATCCCATCCTCTCGTTGCCAGGAACGCCATCGTACAAATTAGCAGAGGGTCTGTGAAGGAAATCAAAACAACTATTAGCCGGATCTGACCAAAGTATCGGCAGTGCTAAACATTTTCACAACACGATGAAATCATGGTGTCGTTTGACGTCACCGCACTATTCACATCGATACATTACCAACTTGCAATAGACGCCATTTTGGAATTGCTTCGAAATCCACCCGACACGATAGGAAACCTCAAGCCAGAGAGTGTAGCGGAACTAATGGATCTCTGCATGACCCCTTATTTCTACTTTTATGACTAAGTGTATCAGCAATAGTAAGGGACCTCCACGGGATCGCTACTAGCAGGACTCGTTGCAAAAGCGGTGATGTAGAAATATGGAGCGTATCAAACTCCAAACTAGTCGGATGCCATGCAAATGCCCTCACGTGTGTTTTGTGCAAAATTAAGTACCACATTTCATATGTTGGATTATCAGTTGAACATTTTCATCGTCTTCGCGAGATCCAACACGATTTCGTCCAAACTATATGTGAAATTGCCGAAATAAGATACAGCCAGAAAGAGTAAGGCCGACGTGTAGGCCTCAGCGTTTCGTTGCGAACAGCTCCGTGTGTTTGGCCCAACAACATAGCGCGAAGAGCCTTCGGCTCAGTCGTCCTCCTCTACCCGTGCAAACTCACCAACACGAAGTCCAACCGTTGTGAGAAGCCCAGTTGCACCTGGCCTAAATTGTTTACCTTTGTTGTGTCCAACGGGCACTGATGTCCCAGCAGGTGAAAGTCTGAGTGCTGAAGACCAAGGACGAAATTACGAAGGAACGTTGGGAGTTTACGTTCTGTAAGTCAACAGTTAGACAAACCACTTGACGCTGGTAGTATACTTCGCCCTGCAAGGCCAACCTCGTCCGACCAGAGGCATTATAATCTCGTGATCTTTCACGCACCGGAGTCCAGTGATCCATCACCCCAAGTGCACTACGAGCACGATGTCGAGTTTTTACAGGATTTAATTGATAGACTCCTCGACGCTGGTGAGGACTCGGTAAAAGTGAGGCAGATTACCCGTCTTGGAAAGCAAGGGGATCAACAAAATCGGCCTATGAGAATCACTTTTGTGGACGAAGCCAGTCCAAGACTGATCATGTCTCGCCTAAGTAGGCTGAAAGGTTTGAAGATCCATGTTCGTCCCGACCTGGACCCAGTAGACAGGGAGCGGCTCAAGTCTGCCATCATTGAGCTGAAAAGGCGCATTGGTGAGGGGGAAACAAATCTTCGTATCGTAAATTTTCGGGTGGTTTCCAACCATCCGCGAATCAGGATAAACAGGCTGCTCACACTTCAAACACGGCCGGTAGCTCCTACTGCGGCCTGCGAGTAGCCTTCACAAACTTTTGCAGTAATGTGATGAGCTTTGTTGTTTCGTTGCGTCTGAGCGGCAAGACGTAGTGGGACTCGCAGAGACATGGCTGCATGCAGAGTTATACACCAAAGAACTTGAACTCAACGGTTACTCGTGTTTCCGATGCGATAGACTAAAGAATGCCCATGGTGGTGTCATACTTTACATCCGGTCTTCCCTGCGTGGGAGACTTGTGAGCACCTACCGAAGTGACGATGGTCTGTATGAGCTACTGTGGTGCTACATCTGCCTCAGGCGCGGAGAACTGCTTGTGGGCGCATTCTATCGCAGCCCCCTGGGTCATTGTTTGGATTGGCTGTTCATTCTTCGGACCCACATGAGTCGTCCACACTTTCTACTTATGGGCGATTTTAACTGTCCTCGAATACGATGGCCTTATGTGCATTTGATGCCTGGACATTGTGAGGTTGAAGCAAAGTTCGTGAATTTGGTACTTGAAACTGATGCATCACAACACATATGCCAGCCAACACGCATATCAACACGTTTAACCCCGTCCTGT